TGATTCCAATCACCAAAGTTCGATTCCGGGCCAAGGCTGACGTCACGTTTCAAGTTTTATTTTGCTTAACGTGGTGAGAGCTCAACAAACCGAGGATAATCTCAATGCGGGACCCTTTTTTTGGCAGCATCAAAATATAAGAATAGGTACTCTTAGGTTTTTTCAGGTAAAGTCGCGTAGGTAAAAAATAATGATAAAATAAAATAATAATTACTGAAAATAACTCAATTAAATCACGACGTTTCGGAGGCAACACAAGTCTCCGTCTTCAGGTGGGACCGTCACAGCTAAATGTACTGTCCCACCTTAAGACATAGACTTGTGTTGCCTCTGAAACGTCGTGATTTAATTGAGTTATTTTCATTTATTATTTTAATATTTTTTACCTACGTGACTTTACCGAAAAAAACCTAAGAGTATGAATCCTTGCAGTCACGAAAGCTTCAAATCTATAAGAATAGGTTTTACCCTTTCTGGCAATTAATCAGGCGTTAAGAAGTTAAAACACCAAACGGAAACCTTTTGCAAGGAATCCTGACTGCATTAACCACACGTACTTGTGGTGAACATGCAAACAAAAACATGTTCTTTGAGACGATGCATATATTATCAGTGCATGCTTTTTTCTCAAAGACAACGCGTTTATCAGAGCATATTTCTGCGTGCATGTCCGCTCTGGTGCCGGAGCGTAGCTCTCAACGGCGCGCTCGGACCTTTTGTCAATCCACTCCTGGACGAGGGCTTCCCCCCCCTTCCCCCCACGGCATTGCAGGTCGTTGAGGTGACCTCCGTATACTTTACCACAGTGGCAAATGCGAGAGTCGAGAACATTGGGACAGCATAATAAAGCAAATGTTGTCGTCGTCCCTCCGCAACTCTGATTAGCACGGTTGGCTATGTACAGTGTGAAAGAAGTTGAACATACGTACGTACACACGTTGGTGTAGCGTATGTTTGTAACATAAGATTTTGCACCACTGCCCTCTCTTGCCCACGAACTTGGTACAACTCCTCAGTCAGCTGTGACAACCAACAGGGCTTGCACGTTAATCGCCCATCCAAATGACTAACCCAGGCTTCTTGCCGACTTCACTTCTGAGATCTGATAAGATGGGGTGCATTCTGGGTGATTTGGTCATCGTCATAACGATGTTTATGGTTTAAGTTTCTTTCTGTAGTTATGCCGTAAACTTTGAATCCTCGGGACGATTATCTGATGTGGAATTTCCCCAGCCCCCATTACCCATGACACGGATGTCTTCGGGGAGGACAAGGAAGATTTTTGAGCATTATTGACATTTCTGGTTAACAGCAGTTCTGCAAGTGGAACAAAAACTGAAAAGTGTGGAAACTAGATTTAACAGACGGAGATGCGGTTTAGAGAACGTGGTTACAGAGAGAATATAGGTTCAACGCGTAACCTTGACTGTTGAGACACATTGCAAGAAAGGATCGATGATTGCCATTGGTCGGTATAGTTTAACACAGCAGTAGGCTTTCGCAACCAATATTTTTCATAATAAAGGTTTTTTTTGGGTTAGATTGTGTAAATATAAATGGGTCATTAGAACCCACCACCACCTGACAGCCAATTAGTAAGGTTTGTCACATAAACAAAACGTGCCAATTCTAATTGGCACATTTTATGTGCGCAAGTAGTAACTAATCAAGTAGAAACTAATTATTTAGTACTTGAGCACACTGGTGTTTTGGACAATATACTCGCAACATTTACAATTCAAGTACGAGGTTTCCCTGGTGATTACAACCAGCTTCATCAGGCGATAGCCAGAGTTATTCAGCAGTGGGTAGATTACGGCTGGTGTGGCAACCGTAGGAGGCATTTGTAGAAAGGCAAGTATATTTTTTTTTTTGCGAGGGCTAAAATATAGTAGCACTATCAATTATTTCATCAATTGCAGATAAGAAATGTTGTACACTTGATATATTGCTTGTTAATGTTTAATTTGTTTAACTTTCCGAAGTTTACTTTCATTACACTGTACACTACAGGTGTCGCATGTATTGGTGGGTGTTTGGAATATGTTGGCTGGATAGAGGAGACTTAAAGGGCACGGTACAGATTAGAAAAAGAGATGGTCTGATGTGGTAAAGAAGGATGTGGAGCCGAGTGGACTTGCCGATGACTGGTACCAGCGGTGTCGAGATCGACCTCTATGGAGGAGGCTCGTGAAGGACGCTGCTACTGGGCAGTTCGAGGCAGTCGCCCTGCAGCAACAACGGAGGGCAGAGGGAGCGACGTTCACAACGAGCGGAGCGCCGGTCGGTTAAAACCGCAACAAGTTGCCAGAGTGGGGAGCACAGGTGCATCTGCAAGTCATCTCAGTTCATCAACCCATTGCACCTGGGTCTGTTCCATGACCTGTCAGCAAGCCTTTGACACTTCACGTGGCCTTAAGGTGCACCTAGCTTGGCACAAGCGTCGTGGTGATGTCACCATCACTTAATTGCGAACGACGGTGGTTGTTTTGGAATGCGTGCCGTCAACGTATGTGGTTGTGGTTACATCATGGTCTTGGATCTTTTTTTAAATAACGCACAGCACAGAGGAGGAGTGGTGGCGGCGCAGTGATTTAAGCCCTGCGCTTTGAACCTGGTGACCCGAGTTCGATTCCCGGCCACAACTAACATCAATGGCTTTGATATCTTAACCAGTTCCGAACCCCCCCCCCCCCCCCCGGCTCCACTAACCTGAACTGGCCAAGATGGTCAAGTATGGTTAAACAACCCCCACGACTGACACGTCGATTAGAGGTTGAATTGCAAAGGGCTCTAAGTTATCATAATTACCCTAGTCTCATGATTATTAAATGCATCCTACATTTTTTTTTACTGTTATGATCTGGAGAATAGTCTACAGTACAGTACTATGGAGATCTATCTTCTTTCGCACCGTACGTAACCAACCGTGCTTAAACGGAGGTGCGGGGGAAGGACAACAAACTGAACACACACAAAAACTGTTCTAAAAAATATATTTTTTAATTTCCCTAAAGAAATTCGTTTTCAATTGAAGGTGGTTGTGACGGCGCTGCTCATAATTTGGTAGAGATTGTCTCGTAGAAAATGATTCTCAACTGAGCGGTGGGGTCTTTTACGTCCCTTTGGAGAGATCATGTATTGTATTGCTATGGAGAAACCCTTTTTCAATAAGGTGATTTTGTTCTTGGTTCTTTCGGTAAAGTCATTTAGATAGAAAATTAAATTAAACTAAAATTATTTGTTATTTTAATGATTTTTTTTTATTTTCTATCTACGTGACTTTTCTGAAAGAACCAAGAATATGAATTCCTGCAGTCACGAACGTTTTAAGTCAAAATTTAAGGTGATTCTGTACAACTAGATTTTATATACTCAATTCATGCTGTTAAATACAGGTGGATGGGGAGGGGGAGCACATTAAATAATATTCAGTATTTCGTCAAAAACATTCTACAGCACAGTTTATAGCCAGGATAGTTGACACACGGTTACACATAATATGAAGGTATAATGATTTATTTAAATATGTTTCTGTGTTTGTTCATGTGTGGTTTCGTGTTGCTTTGTATGTGTCACGTGACACCTCGGACGTGCTTGCCAAAAACGAACGCCACGTTGGCGCGATGTTAACTCCCTCGCCCGGCGGTATTCGGGAAGCATGGGTTCGATCCCAACCCTTGACGCCTGCTGTATGTTTGGAGTTTGCATGTTTTCCCCGTGGTCGCGTGGATTTTTCTCCCGGTCCTCCGGTTTTTCCCTTCACATTTATAAACATGATGCTTTTAGAGTATTTGGCTGCTATAAAATTTCACATGATGAGCCACTTTGTTCAGCTGTCATTTGTGGCCAGGTCACTTCTGAAAAATATCTATATAGCTCAGTGGGCCTTACCTGGTAGAATAAAAAAAAATGTTTACTTTATAGAGATGTTGCATCTCAAGGGATTTGCCAGGTAAGATATTTCAATGAGATTAAATAAATAAATGTCCGTCCCCCCCTCACTACATTACTCCACCCAGCGCTTGTCATGTAGAAAAACTGGAAAATGTCATTCAAAACGGTACCATCATTTGTATGCTTCATCACTGCACACACACAAGTGGTGCAATGATAATTGTTTTTTTACCCTTCTATCTGGCAACAAAACTGACACCTTTTTTACACGGAGTCATGTTTGCATAGACCACAATACCTGCAGTCATAATGCAAACAAAAAACATAACTCTGTATGCACTGTCCTTGAAGTTGATTGGTCCACACCCGAGACATTTTTCCTTAGAGCCTAGTCTAACATGATGTTGGACCAGATGACGCCTTTTGACGCCTTTTGGCGTCATCTGGTCCAACACCATGTTAGACTAGGCTCTAAGGAAAGATGTCTCGGGTGTGGACCAATCAACTTCAAGGACAGTGCATACAGAGTTATGTTTTTTTTTTGCATTATGACTGCAGGTATTGTGGTTTATGCAAACATGACTCCTTGTAAAAAAAAGGTGTCAGTTTTGTTGCCAGATAGAAGGGTAAAAAAACAATTATCATATTTTTTACTGGCAAATGAGGTTCCAATGGTGTAAGTGGTGCAATGTTGCATTGCACATTTTAAAACCTTATTGCGTTCCCTTGACAGTGCATTCTCACCGTCGTCATCAGCATCGTCGTCATACTGCCTTCGGTCATAATCACGGCAGCGTGTCCCAGCTCATCCCTATCTCGAAAACGAGGTAGGAGTTGATTCTGAGTAATTGCTTTGGGTGCGTGACCACCAAGCCCAGGGGTCGGGAAACCAAAATACCAAGAAGAGCCGTTTATTTAGAATTCGGTAAAAATTTCGAAATATTTCAAGAGCCGCAATGCGCGTTAATAACGTCACGAAGCCGTCTTTGTGTGTCACGTTCCTCCTGGTGTGGTTGTGTCAACATGAGCGTGGGAGAGAGTCAAAGGGAAAATTCTGACCATGCCCTTGTGTGTTGTTGCGGCTTTCATAGGTGCTCACGAACAGACACACACACCTGTTGGACTCGCCACCACGCCACTACCTTTACCACTAACCCCCTATTCCAGGGGTCGGCAACAAAAATAACAAGAACCATTTTTTTCTAATTCCGGAAAGAAAAAAAGGTCAATATTTCGAGAGCTGGAAAAGCCCGTGAATGACGTCACGGAGGGCTCCTTAGAGAGCCGCATACTTCTTCGGAGCCGCAGTTTGTCGACCCCTGACGATGCCGAACAGGTTTTTGTTGAAGGCCGTCTTCTGGGGCTATATTCGTGGGCTGCAGAAAACAGTGTGGCAAAAAACATTCTTGTACGGTACGTCTGTGGTTTCTGCATCGTGCATGCTTGCGGTCTTATAACAGCCACATAACTAACCCGCACTCCTTTTGGGGGGGTGGCATCCTCCAGACATGTATTGACAAACGGCTGTAAATCGATATTCACACTTCCCATTTTTGTTGCACGAAACCGGAGTTGTGGCACTTTCTACCCTTTAATACGCGGCGAAAGTTTGCGTTTCACTTTTTTTTTTACATGAACGTTTCGTTGGTTAAAGTTTATCTGCAAACCAATCGTCGATGAAGTCACTTGATCAAAAACATGCCATTGATTTTTGCGGTGGATTATTATTTGGGCACCTTAACGAAGGGCGAACCCCCCCCCCTCACCCCAATTCTGCCACACTCCCAGTGTGACGGCTTCCAATGGCGCCGCTTCTAGTGACGCCGGTAACGTCACCAAGACCCACCCCCTCGCCATCACCTCCCGTCCAGCGGCACGTGGAAACGCAGGCTGGGCTATTCTTCCCCACGTTATTGATTAGTTGAGTGATCGAACTGATCAATGGGAGTGTAATCAGATAATCCCGCTCCGATTTAAAGTCAAAGAAGTTGCTTGCTCAGGCGACTGCTGGCAGGAAGGGCCTCCACAAGTGGCAGCTTTGGAGGGTATTTGGTCTACTCTTCCACGCTGACCATATGTGTTGGAATGGGTGGGAGTACCCACGCTTTACTCCACCGCACATGACCTACCTACCGATCGACTAACTGTGGCCTGTACCCATTTAGACGGTGGGAGGGATTTAAAAAACGTGTCCATTATTTTAACCGTCGCGCAAGAAGATCCAGTCGAATGGTGGCGAGCTCTGGATTGCAGCGTCCTAACTGTTACGCATATTTCTGAATTTAAAGTTGAACCACATAAATACTCGGGAGTAGAAAGGCAACCGAAAGAGAGGAGAAATTCAATAAATCTGCGTTGACGTGGGAGTGGGGGGGGGGGGTACTATATCAACGGCAATTCGGTAATCTGTCGTGGACCGCGGAGATAAACTAAATAAATCCGCGACGATGTTTTCGCACCGACGTGGTGTGCCACGGATCAAGGGGGGAAGGAGTTGCTGCGTGGTTCCATTTATCCGTGAAAAGTTTGCAGATTACCGGGGAAATGCGGCACGTGACCCACGGGTAAATTATCCCGCGATAGCTTTGCCGATTGTGAGTTTAGCTAAGACCCAAATGGCGCAGTCTAAACAAAATGCAAAAACCCTTTTCTACCAAGCAAAAGTGACATCGTCGTAGCTTTGTCTGTGCAGATGCGAAACGTAAGAGTTATTATTTGCGAGATAGAGACATGAACCATTAAGCATTTCTCTGTAGCTCAGCTACTGCAGCTCTGCGTTAGACATGCCCACTTCTACGGATCACGATGTTGCAATCCGGCAACTTTTTTCACTCCGCCGCGGTGTTCCACGGGAGCAATCGCGGACTGGGAATATAATCCGCGAGTAAAATGGTTTCGTGTATTATTAGATCAAGGATTAAAACGTCTGTTTTATAATTGGGTTTTTACCCTTTTATCTGGCAACAAAACTATTTGCATAGACCACAATACCTGCAGTCATAATGCAAACAAAAAATCATAACTCTGATAATTGTATGCACTGTCCTTGAAGTTGATTGGTCCACACCCGATACAGCTTTGCTTAGAGCCGAGTCTCACATGGGTTGGACCAGATGACGCCAAAAGGCGCACTTTTGCAGGTATTGTGGTCTATGCAAACATGACTCCTCGTAAAAAAGGTGTCAGTTTTGTTGCCAGATAAAAGGGTAAAAAAACAATTATCATATTTTTTACTAGCAAATGAGGTACCAATGGTGTAAACGTCTGTGTTGTTATTTCTTTTATTATGATATTATGTTGCTGTAAAAGTTTCTGCTTTGCTTTTCTGTCTGTTCACAGGACCCCTTTAAGTTGGTTCGCTGGAGAAGTGAAGCATTGTGTATTCCGGTGCCCATTCAACAATGAGGGTTTCAGGTAGGTGTACCACCAATATTGCCTATAATGGTAAATTAATTTTTTGTGTATGTGCAGTTCTCCACTCTGAAATCTTCACATTTAAACAAAATATATGTTTTAGTCGGGCAGCCTATTGGCTTTCTAGATTTAATGCTATCAAGCAGAATTTGTTTAAGCAGGAAAACTCTGGGGAGATTGTGACCCTTCTGGGCCTTATCAGCAAAATGCCACTGGGTTACCTGGTGTTATTTTCACGAGCGTTCCATACAAACGATTAGACGCTGTTAAACACAAAAGGCAGTATCGAACACAAAATCACAATTCATTGCCATGGAGTGTCATGGGCAAATGCATACATAGGCAGAACTCCATTCCATGTCTTCACTTACGGAAATTCTGCTTATTTTGGAAAGCTTGTTCACATTTAGATTAGAGATTGTGGTAAGTGACCACAATAATTTCCATGCCTATCGCTTATCTTCTCCATGTGTGTTGCCAGTGTAAGCTTAGACAAGAGCTACATTTTAAGCGCCACTGCCAAAGCATTATCACCGAACAATGTGTTTCACTTTAAGCTGGGGTAGGGGGGGGGGGCATTCACTGCCACCAGCTACCATCACCTTCCCCTAATCTCGGGGTTCTGTGTTCCTTATCAGATCGTTTTGTGTTCTTTGGCTTGTAACTTCCCGCTGTTGGGCAAGGCTCTTCCCTCCCCCATTAAATCTTTCTTTCCTTAGTTGAGTCTCTGTCAAGTAGTGGTGCATCCCTGCCCCCTGAACTCTGTGATGTCGTCTCACAGCTGCCGTCCCTTCTGCTGGCCTTCTTTGCTTCCTTCACCTTCTCTCGCTGTCCTCCCTGACGCAGTTCATGTTGCCCGTGTCCCTCTCGTCGGTTCCCAGCCAGATGGGTCGTGTATGAAATTAGAGCCGCTGGTGTTTCGGCTTGAGGGTGGTGGCTGTTTGCGCGTGTCCTAGTTGCATGTCTTCTACTCCAGCATTTTCCTATTGCTACCGTTCCTCATCTGTGTTTATTGCCCTCTTCCTTCCTCACCCAATGTATTGCCCCGTTTAACTGCTGCCTCTGCGCGTTGTGCACCATTGACTATTTACTATTTTTATTTTACCTTGTAAGGCCTGCTGCGCTATGTAGCTCTTTTTCAGAAGCGACCTGGTTGTCACAGACGATCGCTCAACGAAGTGGCTTATCATCACGTGGAAATTTATCGCAACCAAAACACTCAAAACGCGTGTTGATTCTAAATGTGGAGGGAAAAACCGGAAGAACCGGAGAAAAATCCACGTGACCACGGGGAGAACGTGCAAACTCCAAATATACAGGCGTAAGGGTCGGGTTCGAACCCACGGCCTCCTGTAGTCCAGGCGAGGTAGTTAACATCTTGATCTTTAGTTGTTTTTGGCTCAAACTCTGTCCATCCTCCCCCTGGTCTTCAGCTTCTTCAGTTCACTGTTGCTAAGCAGCAGCAATGCTCCGTTTGCTGCCTGTGTAGGTCGCTTTCCCAACATCCTTCCTGCCTTAAAGAATTCCACCAAGATTTCACCACCGACAGTGACCCATTCCAGGGCTTGTGCCTCATCTCGGTTATTGTAATCGGACTTCAGCCAGATCGGCAGCCTTCTCTTTGCCCTCCGCTTCGCCCACATCCCTCACGTGTTGTTTCCACTTTTCGCTTGACTTCCCTGTTCACAGTCAAAGTTGTGGCCGCATACAGTGAGTGCATGAAACACCAATCAATGCCCATCCTTATCTTAGTTTGGTAGTTGGCTTTGCATGCGCTTGTGCGTGTGTAAGACTACGTGTGTGTGTGGAGCGGTGGCGCAATGGTTAGCAGACTGGGTTGCCAGCCCAGCGGCCCACGTTTCATTTCCCGGCCACGGCAAACATCGGTGGCGGTTAACGGAACCAGTCCATTGACCTCTCCCTTGCCTACTCGCGCTTCATTAAGTAACTGGTAAGGCATGCAAAACATCAGCACCGGGGAGACGAATGCGGCCAGGCATGGTGCCGTGCACTCCACACCCGCTCGTGCGACGTGCCAGCCTCTCGTAGGTGCTCGCTAACAGCACTTGGCCCAGCACTCTTGTGTAGGCTACATGGATGGATCTTTGTGTTTGTGTGTGTGCAGCGATAATACGCATGCTGCTGGCCGGGGCTATAACGGTGCTGGTGCTGTATTTAGGCCACCGGATGATAGGCAACAAGTTTCACAAGAATCTGCGATTCCTCATCGAAGGTAAGGACCGAGTACCGGAATATAGCGGCGAAGGCGACGGTGATGCGTGAAGGCAAAGGCCCTCGGACCAACTAAACGAATCTGGCCAGGTCTCTTAAATCCCCGCCACACCCGTCCACCCATGCCCATGAACGCCCTGCCCAGTGTTGTTTGTTATGTGGAGGCGATGGCGGCGGTGTGCTTTAAATCCCACCTCAACCCGTGTTGATTTTGTCCCACGTTCGGTTTTTGAAAGCAGCTCCCCTCGTACCTTAGGGGTGCCACGGTGGCGAGATGTTAACGAGCTCGCCCGGGTATACAGGACAGTCGTGAGTTCGATCCCGACCCTGACCCCTGTATATTTAAAGTTTGCATGTTCTCCCCGTGATCACGTGCTATACACTTCCACATAAGCCACTTCGTTTGTGGTCTGGTCACTTCTGAAATGGAGTTATGTAGCTCAGTGGGCCTTACCTGGTAAAATACAAAGAAATAGTTTAGTTTAGTTTTAGCACACCTTTGCGAACAATGTATATCTTTATCTTGACTTAAAGCTTTTGTGACTGTCAGAAATCCTAATCTTTGGGTCTTTCGGTAATGTCACAGTAGATATAAAAAAAAATTAATATTTTCTATCTATGGGACTTTAGCGAAAGACCCAACGAGTATTATGTCTTTATGTTTGTGATGCACAGTGCTTTCCGTACCTTTCCAGGCACCTCCAATTAGCATGGTTGGCTACGTATGGTGCAAACGAAGTTCAACATGCATACGTACTTATGGGAAAGGTTAAATAATCTTCCTTAAACTAGAAACCTCATTCTGTTTGGGAGGATGCAGCGGTTAGAGCAGCAAAGTCTCGCAATTAGAAGGTTGTAGGTTCAATACCCGGTCGAGCACGGGCACGGGCGTGGGGGGAGGGATCAGCTGAGCCTTAACTCATCCCTCCTGACAAATTCATCCTTGATTTAGTTTTTTCCCTCAATGGATATACTTGGCCTCGTCATATGAACGAGGAATTTCCACCTCTAGCCCACCTTCAGCCTTGGCTGCCGTTTCCTTCTGACGATTGTTCAGAAGGAGACATCTCTCTGTCGTGCACCTCAAAGTCACGCGGCTGAGAAGTTTTGCGTGTTTTATGACCGAGTAATTGCTGTTTGGGGAAACTGTGGGTGAACGTGTACACATCGGAATCCGTTTCCCACAGGTATTGTTCCATGCAACCCAGTATGATGATTATCGCGAAATCGGTTTCCCGTACGTTTGTGGATACACTTTTTAAGTTCATTTGCATCACGTTTGTGCTCAACTGCACCGGGCGCACGAATCGAATAATACTTTTTTTTTCGAAGTTCTTCAGCTGCAGCTCACTCAACTTAGGCTTGTCGTACGTCTTCCATTCAACGCAACTTTACAACCTATGAGATACATCTTCTTGGTTCTTTCGGTAAAGTCACGTAGAAGGGAAATAATAAAATAATAAAAATAAAACATAATAAAATTATTCTCACGACGTTTCGGCCACAACGCAAGCAGCCGTCCTCAGGTGAAGAATGGGTCTGTCGGAAAGACAGCGTCTGAATGAACACTACCACGTTTGGCAGCGTATATTTAAGCTGGGTTGGAGGGGGAAGAGCTTAAATATACGCTGCCAAGCGTGGTGGTGTTCATTCAGACGCTGTCTTTCCGACAGACCTGTTCTTCACCTGAGGACGGCTGCTTGCGTTGTTGCCGAAACATCGTGAGAATTATTTTATGTTTTATTTTTATTATTTTATTATTTCCCTTCTACGTGACTTTACCGAAAGAACCAAGAAGATGAATCCCTGCAGTCACGAAGAAGCTTTAAATCGAAATTTATGAGATACATTTTTACCTGTGGTACCCGACTGTTAAGGGGAGTAGGCCTCAACTTCTGTCTGTAGATCACAGAGCAGCCAACTCATTTCAGTTTGGATGATTCTATACCCTCCCAAGGATACCATCACACCCTTGGGTAAAGTGTTCACACCTCTGCCCGGAAGAAGGGTCATTGCCCGAAACGTTGCCTCCTACCGCGTTATCCGGATTACGAGACACGCTCCATTCCCCCGTGTTTTAAAGCAACAGTTGGGGGTGCCTAATTTAAAAACGAATTTCTTTAGAACCACATTTGTTTTAGTTTATATTCTTGGTTCTTTCGGTAAAGTCACGGTAAAATCACGGCTATGTACAATGCGAAAGAAGTTCAACATACGTACGTAGTTTAGTTTGTTGTCCTTCCCACCGTACCTCCGATTAGCACGGTTGGCTATGTACATTGTGAAAGAAGTTCAACATATGTACACACACACACAATCCAGGGGATTGTGTAAATGTGGCACCAGATTTGCGTAACTTTTTTACCACTGGGCACATGTATGGGTATGTCTTTCCAGAGTACCATATCTTATCTGAAAAGTATAACACATTTATATTTTATCCTCTTTAGTGCATTGTTGTTGACTTTTTCTAATGTGTGCTTGTACACCACTGGTAATGGAGTGTCACGGTTCGTTGTATAAATTGACACAACATTTATCGCCGTCGTCGCAAGTGTCAAAACACTCGTGTGGAATTCCGCGATGCGGTGTGTACTCTCCATGCAAGTTTTGAACATTTTTCTATTCTCTGTCTTGTCGCCTCCAGACACAAATGGCGCTCCTTCTCGACGATCAGGTTAGTAGTGAGTAACTCCGTGGCGTTGGGTGCGTTCCGGTGGGGATTACAGTGCTCTGTGTAAAAAAAAAAAACATCAGCAGTTTCTGAAACTTTGCATTGTGTGGTTATAGGTCACCATAAAACAAATAATTGGAGCAAACGTGAAAGGCTGACCGCAAATGTGACTGACAGAAGGCCCACGCTGCACTTCTTCAGGAACTGCCGGTGGGGTTTTCTTTATATAACGCACAAAGGCGGAGTGCTCTTTACATGGTTCTGCGTGTTGTTTGTACCTCGTGGTTATCCGGCCTGCACTTGTTCTGTGATAATGGGGGTTTCTAAATCTTTTTTTGATTAGCAATAGAGTTTCGTTTTATAAAGTATCCCGATTTCAACCGAATCAACATCCATCAGTGGCAAATGAGCATTCTCGAGAAAGAAAGAATACATGGCTAACTGTTTTCTAGATAGCAGATATCTAAAAGTTACTGTTTTAACTCGATTTCCTGGCACGGCAGTTCTAACAATGGTGCAAGTTTCCTAAGTCCCCCCCCCCCCCTCAACGCCTCTGTTCGCCCAGCGGTATAAGCAGGGCACGCCACAGTTAGTCGATCAGCGGGCAGGTTAAGTGCAGTGGTGGGGTAAAGTGTGAGTATCCCCACCACCTTCCTTCGAAGAGGTCTCGCCACCGTAGAATGAATAAGTCGAACACCTCTCGAGAATGGCCCTTCTGCCAGCAGTGGCATGAGCAAGCACTTGCAGGGGCTGCAGCTTTACCGTTTAACCGTCGATGTGGGGGAAGAGGCAATCGTTCAAAGGCTGAGATCTTGGCCGAGATCTTGAGTTGACTTGAGCAGGGAGTCAACAGAGATCGCACTAGGGCTGATTTCTCTGACCTCTCTCTCTGTGCTGTGAAGAAGGGCAATTGCCCAAAATGTCACCTTTTATGTATAGTTTTTTCCTTTTCTTTTAAAGGCCACACTGTTAATGACTAACGTGTTTGTTTGGTGTTATTTTTGCTCGTCCACCACTGCCAAATGGAGTGGCGTCATCACCAAATAATCTGTTAGATTGGACTTGGTTAGTTTTCAGACTGCACGCTATGGCTCTGCCAATATAAATGCAATCTGCGTTTTCCTAACCCTGACTTTAGCTCTCAAAATCTGAGAAGGCGCCACGAAACTACGTTGTCATGCGCCGAGGACGAGCAGTCTTCGAATTTGGTGAAAGTTCCTTCCGACCGTGGAACCTCATGAGCCAAATCCTGCGTCCTTTCCTGCAAGAACCATCTGTTCCCTCAACCCTTTTCCCCGTTCCAATTATGTACGTACGTGTACATCATACAACGTAATAATAACTTGAATCTGTACCGAGGCTCCCACGAGGCCAATGCGTGAGGGCGCGTATGGCACCTTCTTTCGCCAGCTATCGCGGGGTGGCGGTTATGTCGCTACGGTTACAATGTCTTTAAAATAACGGCGCTATGCCTCTGAATAAAATGAACACGAACTGCTTGCGTTTTCAGAGATGCGGCGGTGAACGGGACCCATCCTGCAACTTGCAGATGTCTCAGAATGGGAAAGGTTTAATCCGGCAACATTGTCTTTGATGACTCCAGATTGATTACTTAGAAATCTTTCGTTTTTTTTTATATATAAAAAAATATGTTTGTTAACTAGCACTTTGTATTCATCCACTTTCTATTAAGCTTTGCACCTCTGTTCATCTTCCTTGGCCTTTCCTTAATCCGTCGTGGATATTTGCACGTTGCGCTTGATTTTCTTGTCGTGCAATTCTTTTTTTGTCCTGCCTCGTATTTGCTCCCGGTCACGTGGGTGTCCCTACAAAAAAGAAATGCTTCCCACCCGTATTTGTCTCGCACATCGCCCATGAAGGGGGGGGGGTTGGCCTTCCGAGAGCGAATCGATTCAACGCAGGCAAAACTCTGGAGCGGACTTGTGATATCTGTCTGCTTATATGTCTGTCTATAGTTTTCTGGTTAGATTTTTGTTGCTATTTCTTTTATACCTGATGACGATTGCTTGTGTTGCAATCGAAACGTCGTATGCTATTATTTAATTTATTTTTTTATCTTTATACGTGACTTTACCGAAAGAACCAAAGAGTAATTCCTGCAGTCACGAAAGCTCCAAATTAAGATTCGACCATCGGTGTCTCAACAGCCAAGTCGGGGCTTGCTAGTTTCAGCCGTTGCTGGCGAACTGCCCGATGTTTATGAGCGAGGGCTTCCTCCTGCGAAGAGATGTGTTCTCGTTCGTGAATAACAGGCTTTGAGTCTCCATGTACTCTCGCCGCCCGGTTGAAATAAAGGCTCTGACGTTTTTCTTGGCAAGCACGTTTGGATTAGGTATCTTGCCTTGCAGGTGAGGTGGGGGTGGGGGGTTGAAATGAATATGAAGGTTTTGTTGCTTCGGTTACCGTCACCGTTGCTTGGATGTTAGCTTTAAGACACCCGGTGTAACAGCGGCCTGCCATGCGGCGTTGTGGATTACCCACGCACAGTACATACTGGAAACGTTTTTTCTGCAGCTCTTTTGTGTCAAGCCACTGCTGCAGGAAGCTATTGCCATGCCCTGTTGGCAGTGAAGGATATTTGACCATAATTCACTGCCAGAGGGGTGGATTGGTGAAGGGGCAGGAAGCATAGCTATAGATTTTGCTGGACTGCCCTCTGCTGCTCACAATATAGACGCGCAGCAGTCGTCTGTATCAGCCGATTGTTATTCATTGTGATTGCTCGTCTCACTGAATTGGGTGCATTCTGGGTGATTTGGTCATAGGCCAGAGATCCCGAGCAACAGGTTAGATTGACGGGGAACGTCGCTAGAAGGGACAGTGGCCGGTAGTGAAGACAATGAAACAAGGAAACGCCTGAGTACGACCTCCGTGGAGACGGAGCGATCATGTCCATTCGTGTACAGGAGCGAAGATGCATTGTGGCATCACGGGGTGGTGACGGCATGGAAAGGCCATCATCCAGCAGTGGATAGATAAATGCGATGTTCATGATGAATGTGGTGGGGAGTTTTTTTTACTCGTTTATTAGGTTTGCGTGCCACGTGGTAAATGTTGGCACGTCCGTGCCAACAACCCCACTCTCACCTCCACGATGCGTTCTAAAAACTAAACAATTTAGACAGTTTTTTTTTATTTTACCAGGTAAGGCCGACCGATCTCTTTTTAGCTCTTTTTTTTCCAGAAGCGGCCTGGCTATCGCAAATGATAGCTCAACGTGGGTTATAACGCGGAAATGTATAGCAGCCAAATACTCTTGAACGCATTTTTCTAAATGTGGAGGGAAAAACCGCGGAGGACCTGGAGAAAAATCCACACGACCACGGGGAGAGCACGCAAACTCCAAATGTACAGGCGTCAGGGTCAGGATCGAACCCACGACCTCCCGCATACCGGGCGAGACAGTTAGCATCTCGCCACCAATGTCACCCTTAACATCTCGCCACCGTATTTGATTACGTTTGCCTGCTTTCTTGTTTTGTTTGTTTTAATGTGCGTTGAATCGCAGACCCGAAGCTGGCCAGTTACAAATGCGGGCTTGCCGAGGCGTGCCCGGAGAAACACTTCGCCTTCCGGTTGCTTTCCGGGGCAGCCAACATCGTGGGACCCAAAATCTGCCTGGAGGATCAGATGTGAGCCCTTCTCTACACACATGCAGCCGACGCAACAGCCACACAGCCATTCTACTGTCACAGCAGCAGAGGTCGCAAACGGGTTTTGATTCCTTACCCATACCCGTACCCGACCGCACCAGGGTCGCAAATGGGTACCCGTACCCGGCCGTACCCTTACCCCGGCTGGGTACGGGTAGGGTACCGGGTACCCGATTGCGACCTCTGGGATGAAGTCATGTTGCAGGCACGGGTGGGTTGATTCTAGGAACTTGAATTGTGAGAAGAGACAAGACGTTGGGAAATGAGTGATAAACGGTTACTCACCAGTGACTCACGGTCTACCCGTACCCGGCCGCACCAGGGTCGCAAACGGGCACCCGTACCCGGCCGGGTACGGGTAGCCGGGTATCGGGTAGGGTACGGGTATCGGGTACCCGGTTGCGACCTCTGCACAGCAGTAGAGGCAGGGAGGGAGGGGCAGAAGGGAGGGGGGGGGTGGGCTGTAGGGGGCTGAGCTCTCCCCACTGCCTACTAAAGGCTCAGCCCTACCTTTTACATTCTTAGGCCCGTTTCCTCAGTCAAGCCTCTCGGCTCAGGCTTGGCCCTGGCTCAAGTGAGACAAGATTAAACGTGACTCAAAGCCAAGCTGGCTCGGAGCCATGCTGTACTTGAGCAGGCTCCGAGCATGGTCTCTCAGCCATGCTCAGGGTATATCCACGAGCCCAGGCTCGAGCCTGTGGCTGGCGGCGCTCATTCTTATGCAACTTTTAAAGCTACTTGGCGGCTCAAAAACTATTAAACTAAACAATTTTGTTTTTACCAGGTAAGGCCCACGGAGCTATATATAGCTCTTTTGCAGAAGCGACCTGGCCACAAATGATCACCCAACGAGAAGTGGCTTATCATCGTGTGGAAATGTACAGCAGCCAAATGCTTTAAACGTTTGTTGATTCGAAATGGAGAGGGGAAAACCAGAGGACCCGGAGAAACATCCACACGACCACAGGGAGAACATGCAAACTCCAAATATACAGGCATCGGGATTGGGATCAAACCCACAACCTCCTGTATACCAAGTGAGGTAGTTAACATCTCACCACCGCGGCGCCCACGGGAAGAGAGTTTCACAACATCTGTGTGCGGTGATCCCACCAACCCTCGCTGCAGCCTCCACAGTGCAGGATCACAGCCACGTGCAGCGTAGAAACACCACTGCCCGGCCAAGGCTGTGTTTTGTGATTAATGCAGCGTACCTGCTGTGGGCAGCAGAGGGCAGTGCTGCAAAACCCATTGCTGCAATGTACCGTGCAACAACAGGGCAAATCTAACTCCATGACCCACACGGTGTCGGGAGGCCATCATCCAGCAGTGGATTAACATGTACATCCATTTGTTCAAGTTACAATGTATGCAAATTATATGTATAATTGGTATATTTCGGCTCAACCGCCTTTTCATAGCACGGTGATACAGCAGAAGCTGTATATTAGGACATTACATGATAATAATAGCTCTGACATGAGAAAACACAATGCTTACATTACACTGGTGGGGGGTGAAGGCAAGGGAAACTTCTGATATATTCATGAGTCTGCTTCTTGGTGGTGGCGGCGGCGAGAGGCCTTCATCTCGCAGTGGATCGATCACGGCTGATAACGATCATAATATCAGGCCAGGTGGAAGTGGACGAAACTACAAGCGAGATGTGAGAAAACGAGACCGAATGAAATCGCAACCCCCAAATCTTGACAGTTCATAGAATCACGGTGGGGATGGTGGGGGGTGGGCAGGCGGGTGTGAATCCTGACATATCCTGGTACTTGCGCTTGACAAATCGCGGGCATTTTTGGTCGCACAGCGCAGGCCTCTGTCTTGAATCTGCATGCATGACAAACGTAATCCGGCGCGAATTTTCCACGGTTACTCAAGACGCGCGAGCGCGTGTCCGATGTGAGCGACGTCAATTGTACGGAGGCTTATCAATCGTTCAATTAGCCGCCGCCGCCTCCTCCACCGGACATGCGACCCTGCCTGCCGGGGGAAATCGTTTTTGTCTGACAGGTTTGTTTTTTTTTTGCCGCACATGTTCGGCAGTCCGTTGTGAGGCTTTTCCAGGGGAATCGGCGGCTGCGGTACCGCACGCGACTCTTGTTTTTTTTTAGGACTGCAGTGCGCGGCTCTTGAAATTCAAAATAAATGGCTCCTCCTTGTTGGTTGCCGACCCCTGACCATGGAAGTCCGGTTTAACATTGGCAGGGGTCGGGCAGCCTGCGGCTCATTAAGGACCTTTACGTGACCTTATTTATTAAGAACCACAGTTTCGTGTTCACCACTTGCATTGTGGCTTTTCAAATGTTGGGGGGGGGTTTTTAGCGAATTCGAAAATAATGCTTGTTGTTGTTTTGGTTGCTGACCCCTGGGCTTTGCCGACGTTGAAAGTGTTCGCCACTTTGCCGTGCGCCGTTGATGAGTGGCTTTGTGGATTTTTGTTGTTGAATGTGTTTTTTTTTTTTCTCTAAAACAGCGGTGTGAGTTTACTTGCCCTTTTAAATATGCACATTGTGTGTTTTCGCTCTTGTTTAAAACGTTCAGAACACAACGCTATTTACCAGACCACCTAATGTTGCCATCCTTTAAATACAGATATAAAAAGATATATACTTATTGCAGTTATTTTGATAAAGCACAAAACAATGCTTTAATCTGATAAGCATTTAAATATGGCACATGGCTTTCGTTCGCAGCCTTTTTTTACACTCTATTTGTGTGTGTGATGCATCAAATAAGATTTGTGTGTGTGATGCATCAAATTAATTGTGCAATAAGGTCATAAGATTCTCTCTTACGACAGCGTAGGTTCACGCGGTTGTGCCGTGCGGCTCTCCGATGCATTTTTCGGTTGTAGCGAACACTCTTCCTTCGGTGCGATGTCTGACATTTCTCTCTCCGCGTCCTGCGATTTTCTTTTTGTACAGAATTATGAGCAGCGTGAAAAACAACGTCGGGAGGGGGATGAATATGGCTGTGGTCAATGGTGAGTGAGTATCTTGGTTGGTGTCAGGCCCTTTAGCTCAATGCAGGAATATATTCATATGGAAGACCGTCAATTTTATTTGCTAGAAGTTTCAAACAATAACGTAACTGAATTAGTTTATATATATTCGTAGTGTCATCATATTACATTCTCTTGTATGTATGTTGAACTTATTTCGCACCGAACAAAGCCAGCCGTGCTGATCGTAGGTGTGGGGTAAGAACAACAAACTAAACAAAAAGCAGCTCTAAAGAAACGAGTTATCCATCTATATTTAAAAGTGCATAGCTCCAATGGCTTCCTAATATCGGAAGGAAGAACGTTCCAGACAGCCGCAGAAGCGCATCTGAAAGCGGGCGACGCAGTGACCGTCTTTCTTCGATGGCGAGCCAAAAGCCGTTGCTGCGAGGATGCCATAAGTTCACGCGGTTGTCCTACGACTTCAAATTTATTTCCTTTGCAACTCCTTTGCTGTCTTTGTCTCCCCCTTTTTGTCTGGCCACAGGAATGACGGGTGAACTCACGACTACAAAGTCAGTGGACATGTGGGGAGGGGGTAAGCGAAGGGTGTCGGAAGAAAAATTATTCTCGTTTTCCTCCTTAAGCTTTTATTTCAATAAAATAGCTTTACCCGGGTGAAATTGTAAATGTTGTGGATTCACTCTTCAACACACCGGTGGGCTAAAGTAGTGAACTCTTTTGTCTTTTGTCAACGTGACACTTTTTTGCTGATTGGCCGTGTCGGGTGATGGAGGGTTACGACACATTCATAAATAACGCGATCTCACACAAAAACGTTTATTATTTAAAAAAATACAGCTCGCGGTATTCCACTCGCGCTGCAAACGCGCGTGCCATTGTTCCATTTACCCAGCCACTCCTCCTTCGCGACCCGGTGACCGGGTAACACTTACGAACCAAAAATAAAAAACCAACCCCGTGCTGTTACACGTCTTCGTGCCAAATTATTTGCAAGTAAACAATAAATACGATTTTGGTATCTTTTACATTTGTTTTGCATTTGCGGTGTTCGATTAATACCCGGATCATTCCTACCACCGATTCCCACAGATTAATTATCGAGACTTTACTGTGTTTAAGCTGTACGAGTCAAGAGCGGTCCATATTATCAACAATTTTGACCTCTTCAAAGCGATCTGTTTCACAAAGAAATAAACTGCTTTTGTCTGGGGTTAACACGTACCTCTACGCATCTCGTGCCCTGTGCTATCTGAAACAAATTTGAGTAAAACAAAAACGTTACTTTTAAAATCAACGGGCGCTCTGTCGTACCGCTGCAGGGGGTGGGGTTGGTTACTCATTGAACTGCTGCAGGAAGCGAGGTCAATCGTAGCACGCTTGTCAAATAAAATGATTCAAAATAAATACAATTAAAATTCCGGCTCCCACTTACACTTTGTTTGATTTCCAATTTGTCATGTTCGCTGCTTTTCAGATGTCAATGATCTCATCGTCTTCCTGAAGGGCATACAGCATGGGTCCATCGTTATGATCGCGTCCTTTGATGACGCGGCCAGCAAGTGAGTCGTTTGCTGAACGAGGATCTTCTTGAGCAAACATTCATTTCATTATTATCATCACGTGTGAGTGCGTATACTGTCTGGGGGGGAGCGGTAGTGTAGCGGATAGCGCCATGCGCTACGAACCTGGCAGAGATCCGAGTTGGATTCATGCCCACTGCCACCACCAGTGACGATTATCTGTACCTGTTTAAGGACCTACCTGAGGTCGACCCAGCCTCAAATGAGTACCTGGTGCAATGTTTAAATTTCGCAACTTGGAACACAAAGGCGGCCGGGCGTGGTGCTGGGCACCCCCACCCCCTTATGTGCTGTGTTGGCCTTCATAGGTGCTCACTAACAGCACTTGCCCCAGAAGTATGTTCAGGCTACATGGGGGATCTTTGTCTTTTGTGGGGGGGTGGGCGGTAGCGCACAGGTTAGCATGCTGCGCTACGAACCCAGTGACCCGATTTCGATTCCTGCTCCGCTGAGCGATTTTTTTTCTCACATTGTCTGAAGGTCTCGTTGGCCCACTTTCGATCGCTGACCATGCACAACATCGGTGGCAATTGACATCGAAACCCTGTGTAATTCTCTTGCCGTTTTCCCAATCCTATAATTCGTGCCGGAATACATGGCGCTAAAGGCGGTCTTGGCGTGGTGCCGTGCCACACGCCCCTCCCATGTGCCATGCCAAGCGTAATAACGAGCGCTCCGTAATTTGGCTATCACCAAATCGCCCTTAATAATGCTCAAACTTGCCACAGCTCGGAAGTTAAACACACAGGGGGGGGTACCACATTTTTTGCTGGATTGGGAAACAAATATTTCCGCATTTCAGCCAGGAGGCAAATGGACATGAATCGACTCCTGTGACAACGTGGCCCCACTGGGGCTGCGGGGTATTGATTAGTCGGCGGTACAGCAAATGGGTTCATGTCGCCATCCAGTGCTGGACTTTTTAACATTTTTTTCCGAGTGTCAACCGTTTTTCATGCTGCCTGGATTTTCTCCAGGTACGCTGGTTGCCCATCCACGCTTATTGTAAGCGCCGGCCCATTATTGTCCCGCTTGTGTCCTAATCGGGCACGCGCGTGACGCCCCTGCGCAGCGAGCAAAAACATCTGGAAAGTTTTGTGGAGAGTGTGGGGGGGAGGAGGGTGATTTGGAGTGATGTTATTTTATTATTATTATTTATTGTCGTCGCTCGCAGGATGAACGACGAGGCTCGGAATTTGCTGGCGGAGTTGGGTAGCAGCTTCATCAGTGACTTGGGATTCCGTGACAGCTGGGTGTTTGTGGGAGCCAAGGGCATCAGGATGAAGAGCCCATTTGAAAGGGTAAGAAAAGACCTCTCAGTTTCTCATCTCTCTCTCTCTCTCTAGCTTCCTGTGATTAATTGAACGTGCGGCGACACTGTTCGAGTGATCGACTCGAGCTCGGAAAAGGTCGCGCGAGTTCAAATACCGGTCGCGGGGTCCACTTGAGCCACTCGCATTTCTCAGTGCCATTTAAAAAGGGTGCCGCTTTGTTGCGTGATGTGGTTGCCCTGTGGAAGCCTATGACCAATATGTAGATTGAGGGTTTCTTTTTTTGCGTTGACATCCACAGGCAATGCCTTATCGCAGTCGAAGCTTATGTAACTTATTTGTGCCTTTTAAAGGCAGTGTTCTTCACTCATTTTCGGGGTGGGGGGGGGGCACTAAGACATCAGTGTGAGGGCCGCCAAACATTTGAAGCCACTGGTGTTTGACAGCACAATGATGGGGGGTGCGTCAGGAGCTACACTAAAGGCCACCAAGGTCCGCCAGTGGCCCGAGGGCCTTGCAATAAAGAACCATTTCTTTAAGGTCTTAATTCATGTATGTGTTTGTGTTCATGCCCCAAGAGGTTGTTCAATAGAAATATGTACAGTGCTTTACATACACGGTACCTATGACCCAATCAGCCAAAATGGTGCACCGAGTGCCCTGAGTGACTTACACTTTATAAATGTCCCAATTACAATTATTATACTCTGGTTCTTTCGGTAAAGTCACGTGGGTATGAAATAAAATAAATCACGACGTTTCGGGCACGCTATCCCACCTGACGCTTGTGTTGCACCCGAAACGTCGCGATTTATTTTATTTTCTACCTACGTGACTTTACCGAAAGAACCAAAGAGGATGGATTCCTGCAGTCACGAAAGCTTCAAATCAAGATGACAATTATTATCTCGTCAGATCCAGGAAGCCACGCAGGGTTTGAGTCTGAACATTGCTTGGATGGGCGACCACGTTTTCGGCTGCGGGGCTACGTCATGGGTCAGCGGAGGGCAGCGCGCACTCATCAGCGCGGTAAACTATGGTCAAATAACCCCCACACGTCCGAGCACGGCGTGAGGAGGCCCTCATTTCCTTGCAGTGAATTGGAAAAAAAAGGCTCCTGTGGGACGGACTTGGCCCCTGTCGTAGGAACGTGGACATGACACCACCGGCACAGGGTTGCGAACAGTTGATGGAAATCTTCTAGCACTCGTTTGAGCAGCAGGCCGCTTTGAAGTTATTCTTAAGGTGATCACTGACGCCATCCGGGTCAGGTACAGTTGAGCTCCATCTCTTTGTTGGACACCCTTTAAATATAAAAATAAAACTATACTCAACTATTATTTTTTTTTATTTTACCAGGTAAGGGCCCTCTGAGCAATATAACTTTTTTCAGAAGTGACCTCGCTACAAATGATAGCTCAACAAAGTGGCTTATCACGTGGAAATGTATCGCAGCCAAATACTCTTAAATGCACGTTTCTAAGTGTGGAAGAAAAAAAACGGCGAACCCGGAGAAATATCCACGTGACCATGGGGAGAGGGAAACTCGACATTGACAGGCGTCAGTATCGGAATCGAACTCGCGACATCCTGCATACCAGGCGAGGGAGTTAACATGTGCGGGGGAAACCCTGCCCATGTAACTCTCTCCACCGCAACGTTTCTGAGTCGGCATTTTGAATTGTGTAGTCGTCCGGTAAACTGCGTAGCAGCGAGTAATTGTAGACTCGTTAGGTGAAATGATGAGGCAAGATGTACATAATCAGTTGAGCGGGAGGCAACTTTGCAGTTTTGTTTAATCGATTTTCCATCTTCAACATTCTCCAGATAAGAACCGTGAATCAAATCAAATGTTACGCATGTAACTCTTCATCCTGGCATATCCAAAGTGGCGTTATCTGCTCGACATTTCATTTGACAGATGAGAGTTTATAATGGTTGGGCCCCTTCACTTAAATATGTTTGCACTAAAAGGCCAGCCCTTTTTACACCATGTAACCTACTTCTTTTATATGGAAACTTAATATGTCTGTCTCTCTGTATCTGGCTCATGTCTTAGACCACACCTCTCTCAATTGGCGGTTTCACCTTTGCCTGGGTGTCCTTTCCTTTCACGCGGAGATACTTTACCTTTATTCATCGTGGTCGCTCCCTCATTGTTGCTATGACACTTGCTGTCAGGTTTTCCCTCGACCCGTTGTCAAGTTTCGCTCTTCGTATCAAGCCTTGCCCTTTGGGCTATATCGTAGCGGAATGCAAACGATTTTTTTTCACACTTTGGGAAGCTTAGCTGGCTTGGGCCTGGATAGGTGCTTGGATGGGTTACCAGCATTCATGACAGGGCCTCTGCGCTACGTTGGCTGCAGCAAGAGCGCGGTGCAGCAAAATTAATTGTTGTATAGTATTTCTGTGTTCCTTACGTTCACCAACCCACACCATTCCCGTGACCCACTGAGCTATACAGCTCTTTTTCAGAAGCGACCTGGCCACAAATGATAGCTCAACGAAGTGGCTTGGCAAGTGGAAATTTATCTCAGCCATATACTCTAAACGCGCGTTGATTTTAAATGTGGAGGGAAAAACCGGAGGACTTGGAGAAAAATCCACGCGACCACGGGGAGAACGTGCAAAGTCCAAATATACAGCCATCAGGGTTGGGATCAAACCCACGTCCTCCTGTATACCAGGCGAGGTAGTTAATATCTCGCCACCGTGGCGCCCCAGGAACAGGCGGGGCAGCTTGGCCCCAGAGCATCCTAGGGAAAAGGAAAGCCCTTCAGTAAGTCCTCGGGACATAAAAAGATCCGTAGGGGAATCCATGCACTCGTACAGATATTCCCTCGTTATTCGCGAACTTGATATCCGCGGTTTTGGCTGTCCCCGAATCGCATTTGGAACTTTACACGACTGCATCGAGAGGGAGAGAAAGAAAGTTGTGAGATTAAAGTGATTAAATAAAGACACGTGTTATTCCGATCATTTTCATGTATTCCATAGTTTATTTACGTATTCGTTGAAGGTAATTCCTTTAAAAAGATAGGTTTTTGTAGGCCGATATCATCATCCGCGAAATTTCCTATACCCTCGTAATCTCCGGATCCTATCCCGCGCTAATGACGAGGGAATGCAGTGCACCTCGTATGCTGCCACTAGGTGGTGGTGCGCGACTGCAATTATTTCCAAGCTGTGACCGCATGGTCTGACGGCGAGTGAAACTATTGCAGGACGACGTTCCCTGAAGACGGTAAGTATGATAGCGTCCAGACGAGGTGAGCGAAGCCTCTAGATATGGCAAATAATATGTTTAATAACGCTTTTGTTTTGTCTCTTTCACCATTGCTCTTAAACTTGTCTCGATGTCATGAGACCAAGTTCCCAGTTGGAACTCTCAAACAGCATTGCACCTTCTTGGTTCTTTCGGTAAAGTCACGTAGAAGGAAAATAATAAAATAATAAAAATAAAATAATTCTCACGACGTTTCGGCCACAACGCAAGCAGCCGTCTTCAGCATTGCACCGCCGCCGTTGTGCGTTAGCGAGTGGCCCGCTGAAGGAGATATCCTAGAACTGATTCTGAGATCCCTTCAAGTTACCTGAGCAATACGAAAAATCCGTGTAATTAAACCACAGTGTGAACACACAAAAAATCTCACGATTAATGTAACTGAGACTTCAACAATTGAATTCAGCCAGAATGGGCCATAAGGCGTTTTTCCCATCGGTTACTTTCACCTGAATAGAAGACTCTTCATTGGAAACCGTGTACAGCCAATCGGTACGAAAGTGACACCTAACAGAGTCCACTGCAGAAGTTTGTAACTGGACATCCTCGTGTCCCTTGCTTGTCGTGTTTGGAAACCAGGTGCGGTGATGCACACTTGTGACTCAGATTTGTAAAACCCAAACATATACTGCCTTATACAGCTGCAATATGACCAGTAGATGGTAGTATAGCAAGTGGGTTAGTGAAACCCATCATTCATTTTCCAAACACCCCAATGCAGGACCCCTCCTGAAAAAGCCTTGAGACTCCAGAGAGGATTTCCTAACTAAATAACGATCGACTGAAATTTCCCGATCTGTGGTTTCAGTTTCGATTCAGATGTTTTTTGCAGCAAACATTGTGCGGGGTGCACCGTAGCACCTCTCTGGTCCCTGGAAGAAGGGCTCGCATTGACCAATTACGTACGCAGAGAATAACTGCTTCTCACACACGATAAGCTCTATATCTGGACCATAAACACATTCCTGCGGAGGGAGCTGGTAGGAACGTTGGGTTGCTCGGTCAATGGCCAGGGTCAACGGCGGCGTGGTGTATTCTGCAAATATGCCCGACTGTGAGGGCGGGCACAAGCCGGCGTGAGTAGGTTGAACGTTGAGTTTTATAAGGGCACCACGGGGTGACTAGCCCCTCTCCACCCAGCCCCACCCCCCACCCAGCCCCACCCTCCCCATCCAGCCCCTCCCCACCCTCCCCACCCAGCCCCTCCCTGCACGACGGACAGACACAATAATCCCCTGTGGGCTGGTGTAACCAGGAGGTTCCTACCAGTATAATAGATTGAACTCGATGGGTTGACATCAATACACCCTGAATACACACCTTGAACCTTTCAGAGAGAGGGGCCTCCATCTCTCCTCTGCTTGCCGCCATGGTCTGGAACTGCCTTCCCCCTCCCCTCTCCCCCCAGTCATCCGTGCCATCGACTCCCTGTTCAAATTAAGGGCTCGGGAGACAGCGTCTTGAGGCGCGGCCGCATTTCTAGAGACCGTATCAATCGACGTATCGTGCTGCCGAGTTTACGACGGGACAGTACCCGCGGTGCCACCTCAAGCGACCGCCTTTTTTCTTTTAACGGCCGCGTACGGAAGGCGCCGGCGTTAAAAACCTTGTGGTGGCAGCGAGCGGCCGTGCGCACACGACGAGGCCGGAACGGGGTGGGGGGGGGGGAGCGTTGGTGGGGTCGCAGGAGGAAGGGCGTGCATTGGGAGCGTGCATTGGGAGCGTTCGTCGATGGCGGCTGACTTTGGGGTAAATCAAAGGGGAAGGGCACATCTTTTTATTTAATGGACGTCCGATTGCACGGTCGCGTTACGCACCTGGCTAATGGACATGCTGTGTTCGATTTTTACCGCTTTTTATTTTGTTTGTGTATTAAAAACAACATTGATCGTTTTTGTCCCCACTTTTACCTCGATACTGCCATTTCCTCTCTTCTTCCCCCGCCAAATGTAATCCCATTTTTGGTTTTAAAGGGAAAAAGTGTGTCAACGAGCAACAATATTCCGCAGATGTTTTATACATCATCAATGTTATCCACAAAGACGAGTGATGTCGGAGGCATTTGGAATTACTATTTTTTAGGAAAGTAACAATTCTATACCCCCGGTAGCAATTCCGTGAATTGTCACAATGTAAGGGTGCCAATTATATTCAACTCTTGCATGTGCGTTTGAACTTTTTCGCACCGTACGTAGCCAACCATGCTCATCGGAGGTGTGGGAGAAGGACAACAACGTATGACTTTTGGGCTCCGGGATGACCTTGTAATATTATTTATATTTCCTAACTTTGTACATGGCGCACTGAGATCCCTGGATGAATTGCACCTTAATAAATGCCAATTGTTATTCTTTCTTTCGTATGGCTGCTGATGTAGATGCAGAGCAGCAACTACAATTTCACAACCAGGTGGTCAAGCCAGATAACCGTGGCAGCAGCAGTAGTTTATTTCTGCGATGTCTCTTTCATATTTGTGTATCGGACATTGAATCATTGTACAATCTGTTCTGGATGACCCACAGTCGCACACTACTGGAGAGTTTTTAATTTTCCATTTGTGCGTCAGGTATTCGCATCTACTGCCACGGTTTGTACGGATGCGGTATAGGGTGGACCATGAGCTTCGTGGAATATCAAAATTCGTATTTATCATTCTAGTTCGGGTTGCATGGTCAGAGTCGCACACACCTGCCGCTTGTATATTTCATTTTCTATTCGTGAAGGAGGTGTGGTTGCATTGCATCGGCCTGTTGATGTCCTGGTGCGTTTGACGGTTGCACCGGTGTCTTCGAGGAACACAAAATGGCCAAGAACACTATGTAGCTTCTTTGTTTGCGTACCTTTAACCTCGCACCTCCGTGAAGCTTGCGGACACAATGACCGCCATTCAGTGCTCGTTATCACCGGCACAATTTCCTGTGCCAAATATCCCAGAAACCTTTAGCAGCGGGGTCAGTGAAAATGGCATGGTGATGGGGGGAGGTGGTTGGGGGAGGTGTGGGGAGTTGTGGGGAGAAGTGTGAGGGTGTGGGCTGCAGGGCGGGGGGACAACCATGCACATTGCTTTGCTTCTCATTGCCAAAACAAAAACAAGAGATCTTTACACGCTGCTGCCGTGGTGTTACGGTTAGCGGCACACTGGGCTTGCCGTGCAGTGGTCACTGCCAGTTTGATTCCGTCTCTCAGCTCGGAAGTTAAAATACAAAGTTACAGGTTTCTTCAAGGCCCCCCCGCCCGCCTCTACCCACTCGGCAGTACAAATGGGTACACGGCAGTTAGTCGATGGCCAGCGTGGCAGATTACCGTCATCGCGTGACTTCCAGGGCGGCCTGTGAATAGTCGGCATTGACCCCTTAATGCACAACATCCGCGTGTTTTTAGAGCCGCGCCTCGAAAGCCTTTAACATCTCTCCCCCGCCCCTTTCTTTTTCCCTTCGCAGCACATCAAAAACAACAAGGAGACCAACAAATACGAGGGCTGGCCCGAGCTGATCGAACTCGAAGGATGCGTCCCACAAAAAGTGGAATGATGGAGCCCACCTTTTGCCTCCCGCAAGTTTGAACGTCGTGCGAAACATTTTGATGCGCGCACGCGACGCGTACGTTTACTGTTTCAGGAATGTTATAAATATTTTTAATTGAAGCTATATTTAATTTAATCGGATATACGCGCGGCGGAGAGTCTCGTTCGCCCATCCGCCGTCTGGTCTCTCTCTGTACAATCCGCGGGAACAGTTTATGTGAATCTTGTAACGATAGCCGGCTGCTTGCACTCATTAGCCGAACGAAGCACAATTAAGTTTAATTTCGGCGTTTGGCGCGCACGCGCGCGAGAGAGCTCGAGGTCCGTGCAATTTTCATATCATTTACTGCTCGCACACGGGGACTCTCAAGCGAAAATCTACGCCGTTTTTTTTCCCTTTCCTCCCCCGGCATGTTCACTGCTCGGGTTCCCTTTGGGTCCCGTTATTATTTACAAGCCCTCCAGCAGCGGCCTACTTGGAAACACTTTTGGGCTAAGCATTGCCAAGACTGTACACTAGATATGCCACTTACACATTTCTCGCGCGTCCAACGTGTACATTTTCCGCAATCAGCATTTTCTGTTTTAATTCCCGTACCCGATTGAATGTATAATGAACTTGTAGGTGATTCGTGGAGAGGGAGAGGAGGGGTGGGGGTTCTGCTGGGTTTGATATTTATGTTCGCCTTGTTATGGTGTTGGAGTTACTTTTATAAAAACTTTATCGCGGAGAAGTGTCAACTGCAGTGACCTCCTCCGTGGCACCAAGTGCTGCTTCAGACCATTTAGATTTTTACGTGCGAAAACCACACCGAGCCTCTTTTGCAGAAGGGGGGCGGGGTCCTGTTTTTAAGTTGTTTGATCAATAATTGGGAGGAAACCCGGAGTTGCCGAAGAACCCCGCGAACAGACGCGTGGGCAACGACGCTCAAAACTCTGCAACGAGTTTGTCGGCAAAACCTCCTTGCTGTACTCGCCCCCCTCCCGTAGGCACAAGCATGGCCTTGCACCGTTGCTATGTCATTCACCGGTCGACCGGAGAACCCCCCCCCCCCCCCCCGCGCGGAGCCACTGGCTTACTGGCATGCCCTGGCCAGACCGTTTTGGTTAGCGATGGGCATTGATCGGGTGGGGTGGCGTGCGTAATAGTCCCCCTAATGTAGTTTGTGGTTCTGTGATGTCATGCCAGTGGCAATGAGCAATAACTTGAAGCTGGATTGTACGTACGTTTAAAAAAAATAAGTGATTTGCAATCATCTTGCCGACCAGACTGCTGTGGAATCGCTTGAAACTTAAATCAAAAATACTAAATTGGACTCGTATGGATTTACTCTAAATCAAATAGTGCAAAATATATTTTAAAAAATGCGTGCGTGCAATTGGATTGGCTGTCGTGTGGTTAGCGGTGAACTGAAACGGCAGCCTAAAGCGTGGATTATTATTTTTAGACACGTTAATGAAGTCTATAGAAAGTAAAAAGTTTGAATAATTAGGCTTTTGAAATCCAGCATTTGGTAGACCCTAAAACCAAATTTTTCTCCATTGGGTTGAATTTTTTTCCCCTCTTGTAGAATACCATGACATTTTGTATGCATCGGTTTTTTAGCCAATGTTGGAAATGTAATACTTGACATGTGGGTGGCAATGCTACCTAATGTAGAGTTATCATCATTTGAACGCCTTTTGTATACATGCCTACCATTAAAAGTGCATATTACTCCCACGATAGGCGGTAAAACTCATGTCACGGGTTGGCCTGAAGGCCAGCCATGCAGAGCCTTTGCGTGCAAAAGTATCCACGCATCGTTGTCTTCACGATTTCGTTGTGTTTGTGTTCCGGATTCGGCATCATGCCGTGTTTTATATTACAGCGCATTTTTTTTGCCGGTATCAATCCGCTGCATGACGAGAGCCTCCTTGGCCCATGCCTCGTTGGCCACGTGGGATGTCTGGCCATGCATCACAACGCTGGTCAGCGTGGATTTGTTGGGTTAGGGGAGGAGGTTGCAGAACTACAATGGGTTTGGCTGCACTGCCTTCCCGTCTACTGCACACAATGTCTGCGTGTTCCTCACTCATTTTCAGAGGGGGGGGGCGGCCCCTTTCGCCGATAAGACATTGGCTTGAGGGCCGCCACATCGCCTGAAAAAAGGGATGTTTTTACGTTTTTTGTATTGCTGGGGATTGCCAGTGCCCCCCCGTGGGCCTTGCAATGAATAATTCTGGTCTATTACATCTGTCTCCTCTTGCCCATGGTGTTGGCAACTCTTATGCATGGCGGCCACCAATCCGAGCACTGACCAGACTCGCACCAGCTTTGCTTCTCAATTCGGGCGCACTGCGGGTGTTTTGGTCAAAGGCGCGCTTCTACACAATTGACGCATCTGCAAGAGATGGGCTTTTAATAATTAATTAGCCTGAAAATATCCTCAACTGCCTAACCAATTTTGGTAAATTCGCCGCCAATATTCATTACCTTTAATGCCAGGAGAGAAGATTTCTACTCGGATCAAAACCGACACATGGCCTCTAAATCGGTTTTAATTTTCATTGTAAAACACGAGAGCGAGACTTTAATTGGTTCTTTCTCCACAATGTCGTCCCGATTTTGTGCTATCGGCGTCGTGCTACTATGGGATGTAAGCGTCCATTCGGAACCTCTGGCGGCACAGTGCAATGGAGAACGGCCCACGGGGAAAGTGGATGTCGCAGAGCTAACGCTGAGATGCTTTTTCAAGAAACCGCGGCGGGGAAATTGGCGGGACCACCGACAAAAATATTAATTTACGGGGCACAATCGGCTCTTTCAAAGAACGTGGCTGCGATGTTCCTTGTGGACTGGCGCGCTCGGTCTCTATCTCTGCGTGAGCTGCCGGTATAGTGCCATCGCTCACGGCGTGTTGCGCATGGGCAGTGCACGGATGAACAATAGCTGGGTCATGCCACGATGCATCAATCAGAATCCATTCTTACCATAATCATTTTATACGGACGTGATGCAGATGTCAAGCAGCACACACGCGAGACGAGACGAAATGTACGAGACTCGCAATGTAAATGTGACATGGGACAGGACGTGGGATAAAGATGTACGATCCAAATGAGACGGTGCAAATCCGCCATACAATTCCCACAATAATATGAAGTATGGGACCGATAACACAACGAGATGGAGCGTACAAGATCTTGCAATAAATTACCAACTACACGTGAATTCCAAAACGAGACGATGCAAACAAGATGGTCCAAACTAAACAAAATCTAACGCATTCTTGCAACCCCCTAAATGACGACAAATTATCTAATTGCTCGGTGGTTCGGTGTGTGGATGGGTATGTGTGTGTTGGGGTGGTTGGGTGGGTGTATATAGGTGGGGAGCAATTGTGCAGTAGTTGACGCATTGCGCTACAAACCTGGCCACCCGAGTTTGATTCCCGGTCGTGGCAAACAACAGTGCCGATTATCTGAACCGGTCCTGGGCCTCCCCTAGGTCGACTCGGCCTCAAATGAGTACCTGGTGCGGTGTGTAAACATCGCTACTCGGGGAGACGGCGGCCGGGCGTGGTGCTGACCACCCACCCTCTTGTGTCCTGTGCCAGCCTTCGTAGATGCTTGCTAACAGCACTTGCCCCAACAGTCTGTTAAGGCTAAACGGGGGGGGGTGATCTTTATTTTGGTGGCAAGGTGCAGTTTGAATTGTTACACGCCCATAATCAAGGTTTTTGGTTCAGATCGCGTTATTTATAAATGTGTCGTAACCCTCCACCACCCGACACGGCCAAATAGTAAAAAATGTGTCACGTTTTTCAAAGGACAACATAATTCACTTCTTTAGCCCACCGGTGTGCTGAAGAGAGAATCAACAGCATTTTTTAATTTGATTTCTGTTCAGCACACCGGTGGGCTAAAGAAGTGAATTATTTTGTCCTTTGAAAAACGTGACACATTTTTTACTATTTGGCCGTGTCGGGTGGTGGAGGGTTACGACACATTTATAAATAATGCGATCTGACCCAAAAACCTTGATTATGAATAATATTGGTCGCGAAAGCCTTACACGTGTTAAATTGTTACACGCCCGTTGACCATCAAGGTTGCCACGTTTTTGCACACGTGGCAGTGCACTACTGCAATAGAATGCATAGGAAACCCTCCTCGCTGAGACGTTGGAACAAATATAACGAGCCCTGCGTGCGTCGCTCACGGACGTGGTGGCGATTGGGGGAAGCAAGCGGAGAGAGCGAGAGATGCGAGATTCGAATCGCTTGAGCTCGGCGCAGATATTTCACCCGCCTGTTCCACCAGCGGTGGCCATGACTTTAGCAGTTCCAGTGTCTTAATGTAACCAATCAACGGTGACTCAAGCGTTTTCATTATTTTGAACGAGTGGGTTATCAAAGAAGTCGGTCTTATTAGCCATGTATAAAAATATCGATATGGCTAAAGGTTTTGCCATATTTTAAGTAGCAGCAAGTCCTGCTCTGGCACGTGGTACATGAAATACAACTGTACACTTGCGCTGCTTCGGATTTTCTTTTTTTCTTACGAGCAGCTAAAAGGGTTTAATTGGAATCTTTGTTTTGTAATTTCTCGATCTCATTAAAAGCATAATAAGTTAATACTGGTTGATATTCAAGTGTGTGCGCTTGTGTGTGTGTGTGTGTGTTGAACCCGGCGACCCGAGTTCGATTCCCGCTCACGGCCAACACCAGCGACGATTATCTGAACCTGTTCTGGGCCTCCCCTAGGTCGACTCGGCCTCAAATTAGTACCTGGTGTGATGTGTAAATGTCGCCACTGGGGAGACAGGCGGCCGGGCTTGCTGCTGTCTCCCCACCCCCTGGTGTGCCGTTCAGGCCTTCATCGGTGCTCACTAACAGCACTTGCCCCAACAACCTGTTAAGGCTATACGGGACATCTTTGTTTTTTGCTTTGTTGAACTTCCAGTCCTGTATGGCTGTGTGGCAGCTCGACCAAAAAAAAAGTAAAGTTCTTTGAAAATAATCTTGCGCTTTGTGGATTGGTGTTGTGTTCACGCGCGGGTATCATGCACGTCCTGTGCACGGTGAGAGCCAGTTGGATGTTGTTGGTGTACGGCGTGTACTCACATGGGCGTGGATGGGTTGATTACGTCCGGTAATGCCCTCGTTATTCACGAGCCTGCTCTCCGCGAATCGCATCTGGAACTCGACACGACTGCATTTGTAAACAATTGCTGAGTGCTTTTAATATCTTTTCTTACTTTACGTTTATTATAACCACGTTTTTTTTGCGTCACGATCATTTTCATACATTTCACAAAGTAACGTAATTCAGATCTTCGTCGGCCAAATGTGCTCTTCACGAGCATCTCCGCAACGTATCCCTCGCGAATAACGAGGGAACGCTGTATGTGTCGTGCACTGTTAAGTTATGAACAGTGCAAGTATCTTAATAGAACGCATTGGTAACTGGATGCCCTTGGAGTCTTGTGCTTTGTGAGAAATACGAGCCGCCGCTGATGGCTCTCCGATGTGGAACTCTTCAGTTCACGAAGAAGCTCTCCCCGGCAAGTGCAGCAAGGCGTCGGGGCAGCGTGCCAACCAAGACGGCAGCGGCGGCGCATATCGACAACGCACAACCGGCGACAGCCCTACGCACTGCGGTCCCCTGAACGGACGCGTGCACACTGCGTCTGTTCCATCGCGTCGGCGGTCGATGGACAAGGTCGTTGGCAAAGCGTTGTTGCCAGCTCAGCTCGTGGTTTCTGCTCCATCTTGCCCGCCCCCCCCCCCCCCCCCGTCTTCAACTTCATGGATCAGCTGTTGTGGTTTGAGCCCATTCCGAAATCTTCCTAAGGCAACTCTCTTTTCACCTTCAAATGTTATCAATTCTGTGAAATGCCAAAGTGACGTTTTCAAATTTTCGTAGGGTAATGTGGTGGGTCACGTGATGCATCGCATTGCCTTTTTAATTTAAAGTCCTGGCCCATCTAATGTTTCAGTTCTTTGTCAATCCACTGTTTGACCATACTTCACCACGCTGGTAAAGGCAGGCTGGTGAAGGAAATGTGCCCAGCACCGGTTCCGATAGCACTTCCCGCTGATGTTATCTGCGGTCGGTAATCAAACTTAACACCGGCCGGTTCATAGTGCAGCGTGCGGGAACACTTCACCACCCCGCTTCTCATTCTATGTATATTATATTTGCAGTTTAAATTTCCCTTATCGGGTGCGTAGATGAAGGTTATTTCTCACTCTACTGCATTTTAATTTCCAGGCGACTTTTAGCGTCACGTTTGTATATCTCGGAGCTCAAACACTCCCGCTGTCTCTCAACTTGAAATGTATTATTTCTGTATCGCATGCGCGCTCGCGTGCGTGTGTGTTCATGGAGCGGTGGTGTCGCGGTTAGCGCTATGCTGCGCTACGAACCAGACGACCCGGGTTTGATTCCCGCTCACGGCCAATACCATTGGCGATTATCTGAACCGGTCCTGGGCGTCCCCTAGGTCGACTCGGCCTCAAATGAGTACCTGGTGCAGTGCGTAAACATCGCCACTAGGGAGACAAAGGCGGGCGGACGTGGTGTTGGCCACCCACCCCCTCGTGTGCCGTGCCGGCCTTCATAGGTACTCGCTAACAGCACTTGCCCCAACAGTCTGTTAAGCCCATGCGGGGGGGGGATCTTTGTCCTTGTCATACCGAGCCTCAGAGACGTTGGCATTCCCTAATAAAATTGCTTGTAAGTGCTATACCCAATGGGCACGCGTTTCTCAAGCTCTCGCAGTGCAATTATAAACAGCCTCCCCGACTCCCGGTGAAGTTGATAAACACCGATGGAAGAGATTATTCGTCCGTCTGCCCATTGTTACCCCCAAGTCGTCGCCCGCCCGTCCCCCCCATCGTAATCTTCTCACTGTTTACGTCTTCTGCTCGATCCAATATCCTCAGAACCATGTGTGGGGGAGCCCAGTTCGCAAGTGCGCGCGCCCGCCTACCGGGAAGGAGACCGTAGTTTTAAGATCGCGCGCGCCTGGATGTCGCCCTTCATGAAACCGCATTCTCACGCGCATCCGAGTTTGACGGTGGAACTTTCTATTCTTCTTGGTTCTTTCGGTAAAGTCACGTAGAAGGGAAATAATAAAATAATAAAAATAAAACAATAAAATAATTCAGGTGAAGAACAGGTCTGTTGGAAAGACAGACCTGTTCTTCACCTAAGGGAACGGCTGTTTGCGTTGTGGCCGAAACGTCGTGAGAATTATTTTATGTTTTATTTTTATTATTTCCCTTCTACGTGACTTTACCGAAAGAACCAAGAAGATGAATCCCTGCAGTCACGAAAGCTTTAAATCGAACTTCATATTCTTCCTCTCGTCGGGAAGTCACTGCCGTAAGCGGGGGGCCCCGTCGGTCGTGCAAGAGCGTGGGGGCGGGTTTTTTTTTATGTTGTTGCACTTAATTTGGCACGCGTTCTTGAGAAATCGGAATCTTAATTTATTTTTTCCTGGAGAAATCCGATGAGCTATGAAGCTCTTTTTCCCCCACGCATGTCCAGATGTCCAAATTGTCACCATCAACCATTATACATCCACTGCTAGATGAAGGCCTCTCTCTCACCCCCCCGCCCCGCCCCCCTTGCCGTTCCGCCTCTTCTTGCACGGCGAGCCGATTTTCACAGCTCCGTCTCCCGCAGTCGACGTCCACTCGGGCGCGGGTTTCCCCCCCTCCTTCGGCTGCCACTCCGCCGTTGGTCTTGGACCCCCGCCCCATCGATCCGTCCCCTTTTAGCCGCGTGTCCTGCCAAAAGCGCCAGTTTCCTTTCGCCCGCGGTCAATGTGCGTCTCATCCACGCGTCAGAAACCGAATTCGAAGCAAATGGCTCTTCTGTTTCGATTTAAAGCTTTCGTGACTGCAGGGATTCATCTTCTTGGTTCTTTCGTTAAAGTCACGTAGAAGGGAAGTAATACAATAATAAAAATAAAACATAATAAAATAATTCTCACGACGTTTCGGCCACAATGCAAGTAGCCGTCCTCAGGTGACACCAGGTCTGTCGAGACGACAGCGTCTGAATGAAACAGCACACGTGCTTGGAGCATATATATAAGCTGGGTTAGGGGTATCCCCTCCCTGTGATGCTGCTAATCCTGCATCATGCACGGGCAAAGTAGCACTAATCCCATATCTGCATTTCCCATATCCCCTCCCTTGGATGCTGCTAATCCTGCATAATGCACGGACACAAGTAGTACTAATCACATACCTGCATATCCCATGGGTATGCTGGATTCCCAAGCACGTGTGCTGTTTCATTCAGACGCTGTCGCCTCGACAGACCTGGTTTCACCTGAGGACGGCTACTTGCGTTGTGGCCGAAACGTCGTGAGAATTATTTTATTATGTTTTATTTTTATTATTGTATTACTTCCCTTCTACGTGACTTTACCGAAAGAACCAAGAAGAGGGGCTCTTCTGTTATTGATGGTTGCCGACCGCTGGTCTAATCCACGCGCTCCTTTCTGCCTCTCGCTGTAATTCCAAGCGTGCGTCTCCCCGTGCTTCTTTGCACACTTTTCAGCCTTTTGTTCCACTTCCTTTGTCAATGACCATGTTTCTGGCCCATATGTCACGGCTGGTAATATACACTGGCACGTTACGTTGCCTTTTCATTGTCAAGCTCAGCTTTCCCGTTTTCAGTTTGCCTCTGAGAATTGACACATTCTAAATGTACCGGACGAACACCTCCAGTTAACACGGTTGGCTACGTACGGCGCAAAAGA